ATGTTGCCATCTTGCTTTACTCCATTCATCTCCGAGCCACCATGTCAAATCACAGAGTGGTCACTGAGTAACAAGGGGTCCTTGCTCTACATTCAGTTCACGACTGATGGAGTGGATGGTGCTACTCCAGTGAATGATACGATATAACTGGCCACCTTGTGGAGTAGACCATTATCACGCTGTGACAATGATTGGACCGCCCAAGGGGAGCCCTCCAGTTCTTGCCGGAGAGTATTGATACACGGTATGACCTCTACAACCGAGCCATCGGGGGGTACAGCCTTTGGTGACAAGCTCAGAGGAGGAGGAGGAGGAGAAGAGAGAGAGGAGAAAGCGAGAATGCGTCTGGAACATCATCAATGCAGATAGGCTGCCCTCGAGGGCCTTGTCAGACTCCATTAGAAAATCCCCACATCGCAGGTCCTCCTCACTTCTCTGTCCCACTATCACAGACCTTCAAAGAGTTATCTGACCGAAAGTTCTGATATAAGAGATGCAGCAAATCGACCTTTCACACCAATTTTATCCAACGACACCTCCCAGATTAATATGGCACAAAAGGAGGCCATTTGGTACTTTGTATCTGCTTTGGTCACTTGCAATAATGTAAACAAATTTGAACTATTGACCTTCTCTTAGTACCTGCCTTGTGAATGGCCTAGTGTTCCTCCACACTACTAGCCCAATGACTGGAGCACGATGGGTGGGGAAGGCAGCTGACATTCTCTAAAGGAGACGCCCGAATGGTCTTGAGCAGCTCTGGGTCTTGAGAGCTTGATTTCAGACCATACTGCGTTGGTATGTGTGAAAGCAGCCCGGACTGGCTGACCGGCAACACAAGGACGATGTGGCTAAATGGTGAAGGCTGCTGTCCTGACAGAAGGCAACAGGCTTGTACCGCACAGCACCAGTGTCAGTGCCCTAGGCTGTCACCTCAACTAGGTTGCCAACTGTCCCAGGATGACTGCCATTAGTTTTCCAGTGGATAAAGAAAGCATTCTGCGAGATCTGTAATCAATATTTTGAACAAATCAGTTACATAATTCATGCAGAAGTTCTTTCAGAACCCCAAACTCATCAAAATGGTGATCTCATTGCATTGCTAATGTTGCAGTAGCATGGAACATAATCTTGTAGATTGTTCCTGAACTGATTTTGGGTGTTGTAAATTTGCACGTTGTATGTGCTGATGGTCATTGTTGCCAGTTTTCTCACTGATGCCAAGCCTCAAGGAGGGAAAGCGGAGTTAGTGGAGGCAGAATAACAGTAGCACCAGGAGAAATGCAGGTAAAGGTCAGTGTGTTGGTATGGCACCCATACTGTTCTGAAGTTCCATAAGAGAAGTGCATTGAATTGGACTGAACTATATGGTAAGGTACCATACAAATACAAATGTTTTAAAAGATGTGATAGATTTTGAGGGCAGTGTAGATTCTGTTATCACACGCTATGGTTCAGGTAAGAGTCCTTGATCGAGGTGCTGGATGTTAGAGAGGCAGAGAATGCGTTTTGACTGCTTGTCCCTGGAAATCTTCAAACGGGGCCATGGCGCCAGATGTGGTTGGATAGGGAAAAGAAAACCCTGGTGATTACATGAAATGACTCCAAGCTTGTTATTCTGCATGGGTTAAATTGACAGGTCACTGTGTGACATCAATATTTTCAGAAAAAGAAGATCTCCTGGAAAGGTTTTGGAGACGGTTGGCAATCCCCAACCTCAACAGCTTACCAGATTGCTATAAAAAACCCTTTGAGTCCACATATCTGTGCCATGATGGCAACACAGTTTACCAACTGCCTGCAACACTTCCATCCATTGCTGGGTAATTGTGTATGCGAACTCTGTGCTTGCTAACAGGGCTTTTCCAATATTTGCCCTATGGTCTCATGCCAGGCAAAGGCAGTTTGAGGCATCTTTCTGTTTGAAATTTGCTTTTTATGTACCATTTCAAACCAAAACGAGAAAAGGACTGACAATGTCAAGGTGGAAAATCTGCAATTTAAAAGTGCTACCTTTTGAAAGTTGGAGGATGGATGGTGCTTTTGAGATTTGGAAGAACCAAAAACTTTTGCTGAAGTGTTTGAACTGATTCCATTATACTGAATGCATATATTTCTTGTTTATACAATCTTCTGGAGCAGTAGATACTCATTTGAAATATTATTGGATGCTTATGAATGAAAATAGCAAGCTTATTTGCACCATGCTTAGTGTGAGACAGAATTAAGTGCATTTTTAAAGGCCAGTTATGCAAATATTCTAAAAATCAATACTTCCAACTTACAGTGAGATTACACAAGTGACTTTAATATTAGACTTGTAGGATCTAAATTTACATGTATTTGAATTATGAGACATCTAGGGAACCCAGTTGCCACCGAGCTATTGTAACATCTATGGTTTTGCTTTCTGATCTTGTTAAGTAGAATGGGAGTGGTTTGTAGCTACTGGTGATGGTTGGCACCAACTGGAAAGTACAGTCAACTGGTGGCAAGTGGCGATAACTGGCTCCAGTTCTCAAATGCCTCAGAGATAGTAGGAACTGCAGATGCTGGAGAATCTGAGATAACAAGGTATAGAGCTGGATGAACACAGCAGGCCAAGCAGCATCTCAAATGCTGACTGGGCTCAACTGTAGCAGCAGAAATGGTTTTCTATATGGGTGAACCGGTTTGTCTGGTTCCTGTCAGTGACATGCTGGTGTTTCTCCATCCTCCAGTTCTTTGGTGCCCTCCCCCAACCATCCCAACCAAGAGGCATTACATTTTTCCTAAGACAGAGCAATTGCCACTGGAACTGATTTTTATGTCTTAAATGTGCTTGGAAGTGCATTGTTTCTGAATCCTTAAATTTGTGGTCCCTGTGATCCTTCAGGCTGCAAGTACATTGCAACCACTGTACTAGGCACCTGATCTGAGCTAGTGCCTAAAAGAGAAACCCTTTTGAGGTTACAAGAAAAACACGCCTCCTCTGAATGAAAAAGCAACTGTTAATTCTCAAAGTCAGAATTCGAGGAGTATGTAATGTCTTTTGGAAACGAGTCAAGAAATGGTGAGGCAATCTCTTTAGCTACAGAATGTGAGAGTTGCTGCTTGTAAGTTCTCAATTTAAATAGGAGAGTGATTTATACCTAAAAGCAAATTGTTATTTTTGGGAATTAGTGGTGAGTGATAAGCATTTTGAAAAAGGGAAACTGTTAAAAGAGTAAGTGAGTAGGTGTTTAATTCAGCTTTTAGCAAAAGAAGTGGCAGGTCCCCAGTACTTAAATACTAAGAGACTAAATAGCATAACAGCCAGAGGGGAGATAGGAAGAATTGTGTTTTTGACCTATCATGATCTGGAAGGGTAATGGAAGCACTTTCAAAACAGGTTTGGATAAATACTTGAAGTGGAGAAAATTGCATAGCTACAGAGAAAAGTTAGGGGATTGGGAATAATTAGGTGGTTCAGTAAAAGAGCTGGTATTGGCACAATGGGAAGAATGGCCTGCTCCTGTGCAGTAGAAGTCTCTGGGCTGAAATGTTTCAGGCAATGTATAGATAGCTCTGAAGCCATTGTGTTGAGGAAAATTGGGAGGAACCAGTTTAGGGTGGTCCCTTGGCACATTCCAGCATCTTCTTCAGTGTGGACTTGGAGCAAAGTTCATCAACTCACCCCACACAAGGAGGGTGGTATTTAAGTCCATTTTTAGGGGCTATTTTCCAAAGGCAAAGGCACTTTCCTAAAGGAAGAGGGATACCTCTCTTTAATACTAGTTAAAACATAAACTCAACTTCTGGGGACGGGACTGGTAGGATTGAGGAAGATAGACTTGGCAGATGAGGAAGAAGATAAATTTTGTCACAAATACTTTCTTACATTAATGTTGTTAGGAGGATGCTTTTCATAGACTGGGGGCATTTATTGTAAGCATAAATTTATTAGCAAAAGTTTGGGCTGTTCAATTGCTCTTGTTAATTTGGTAAATTAGCATTACTTAACTGAATTAATCATTCCATATCTTAAATTATGGCTGCTGCACCAACACGGTTCTGTTCTCCAATTCTCTCACCACCTTTTATACAAAGGTGCACTTTGTGATGATTGATAGAGAAGCTACTTAGTTACTGGTTATAAAATTGCATTTGAAAACTCGTATCATTGCTGAGAGCCAGTCAGAATCACTGTTTCTAAAATCAGTCACTGTTTGACTCACTGATAGCGTGCAGGAGAGAGGAAATGCTAACATTGTCATCCAATTGTATGTTCAGCCTCAGATTCAGTTTTCAAATGAACTTGGACAATTCCCCCTCATTCTTCTAAACTCCAGTGAATATCATCCTTATCAATCCAGTCTTTGTTCACATACCAGCCATGCCATCCTAGGGATCAGTCTGGAAAACCTTTGTTGCATGTCCTCCATAGCCAGAATATTCTTCCTCAGATAAGACCAAAACTGCGCACAGTACTCTACGTGTGGTCTCACCAAGGCCCTTTACAATTGCAGCAAGACATCCCTGGTCTTGTACTTGAATCCTGTTGCTATGAAGGTCAAAATACCATTTGCCTTCTTCACTGCCTGCTGTACCTGCATGCACGCATGTGGCATTCCTTTTGCTGTTCAAAACACGAAGCGAATTCATTATATTTTCTTCTGTTCATAGGTTAACCTGTGGGAGATGCTGGCTTTGTATGCGGCAGAACTACACTTTTTGTGAAATTGTCGAAATTGATTTGAAAACTGAGTCTGATGCTAAGTGTGAGGAAGTGTGTTTGAAATCACTGGCAAAAAACCAATGTCGCTACTAAAAATTAAAATAACTAATAAATAAATTAAAAAATTTAAAATTAAAAAATTAAAAACATTAAAATAACCTCATAATGATAGGATACAGAGGGAGAAAACTCTTGAGGAAAATGGACTCCTTATTTACATTGGTTGGCTTACATTTTTGTATATGAACTGTATTTAAAAAATAATGTGAACATTCAACGTAAGTCATTGACTTGTGTCTCCTAGGATGCAATACTTTAAGGAGTGCATTAAGTTTATCCATGAATGTCGAATGGAAGGAGGAGGGTGCATTGTTCATTGGTAGGTACAGATATCAATCCACATCTGTTTATGCTTTCTTCAAGGAATCATGCAGTAAAGTGTGTTATTAAATTTCTTCTCTTTTGTCGTGCTTCTGCCTTCCTCGGCACAGTTTAGCTGGAGTTTCACGCAGCACAACAGTGGTGGTGGCTTACCTCATGACTGTAACTGACTATGGCTGGGAAGAATGCTTGTCTGCAGTGAAGGCTGCCCGATCGTTTGTCAGCCCAAACTTTGGCTTCCAGCAACAGCTCCAAGAATTTGAAGCAACTCTTGTCAAAGAGGTAACTGCAGCTCAGGAGAAATGTCCTGGCATCTCTGGGTATTAGACTGAAATAACCACTGTGAATGAAGTCACACGCAGTATATAGATCGATGATTGTCTTCCATTGACTGTTAATTAAATGGTATTTAGTAGATGTTACCGCAGTTGGAGTCAGAAAAAGAAGTAAGAAATGCTTCATTCATTTTGAAGAAAAAGCTTAAGATTTGCTGGATGAAACAACAAAGGCTTTTAAGATTTTGAATATTGGAATCACAGATACCTGAGGTAGTAGATGACTTTGTATGTGATTTCAAGGTCATTTATTAAGTTTATTATGGAATAAAAGTTTAAATATGATGCATAAGTCAATAGGAAACATATATAATGTATGATAGTTCAGGGTGGTTCATTGATACCTGAGGTTGAACAGACAGTTGGCTCAGAAGTACTGAGCTCAGTCACTTGTGATGGCAGCAGTCTACTGTCTGGCTGAAGTAATAAGGAACTCTGCCTTTGGTGTTTCTCCTTCCATCTGAAAAAGCTGTGTGCCTCATGAGGACACATTAATATACTTTATTTCCAGGGGCTGGTAGTTCTCATTTATTGGAACCTTTCCAACCAATGAAGGTGGAATAAAAATCCAAGATGTCAGAATGATCATTTCTCCCCAGTCCATTACCTAGCCCAAAGTAGTTTTTTTCAGTTTATTCTCACTGAGGGTCATGTCCTAGTCCTTTCCAGATATGAGCAAAGGAGCTACTCTGGATGTCAGAACACTCCCTGATATCAGTTCAGAAATGTGGCCACTTCAACACAATCTTTGTAACAGTTATAGAAATATAGAAGCATAGGAATTAGAAGTAGGCCATTTGGTCTTTGGAGCCTGTTCCACCAATCAATGTGATCATGGCTGATTATCTAACTCCATACCGTCTGCCCACTTTTTCCCCATAGCTTTTGATCCCTTTAGCCCTAAGTATCTAACTCCTTCCCGAAAACATTCAGTGTTTCGGCCTCAGCCGCTTTCTGTGGCAGAGAATTTCACAGGCTCACTGCTTTCTGAGTGAAGAAATTCCTCCTCATCTCAGTTCTAAATGGTTCACCATGTGTTTTTAATCTGAGACCCCTGGTTCCAGACTCCCTGGTCATCAGGAACATCCTTTCTGTGTTTACCCTGTCTAGTCCTGTTAGAATTTTAAAGGTTTCTGTACCTTGGCTCGATCCCTGGCAACTTAGAATTGCTTATACCTTTCTATAGAGATAAAATCAATGCTGTGCCAGCTAAGTCCATCAGAGTTCTATACGATCCCCAAAATATTATTTATTAAGAATCCTTTTTTCTAACAGGATCTGTCTATTTTCCTTACCAACATGCTGTCAGTTATATGATACACTAGTACTTGACTTTCTAACTCATCGTTGCAATCAACTTCTGTCAGTCTCCAGAACAGCCGGACATGACATGAGATAAAGGCCATTGGAGAAGTGAATAACTTAGGTATTAGGCACATTTTTGGGAATTCCTTCGGAAAAGACGCAAAAGCAAGATGCGTTGTAGGTTAATTAGTATGTTAAGAAGTAAGTCAGATTCCATGAGGTTGTCACTGAAGAATTGATAGAGATGAAACTGTCTTTGTGTAAATATAGATTAACACATTAAGGGGTAAAAATTTGGCAACGCTATGCAGGGGTACATCGATTCTGTCAGGATAGGCAGCAACATGGGCCACTTTCTGTACAGCATGTCTCATTAATTCAGACTCAAAAACAGAAATTACTGTAGAAACTTAGCAGGTCTGGCAGTATCTGTGGAGAGAAGCCAGAGTTATTGTTTGGTTTCCAGTTATCCTTCTTCTGAGTTTTTGTTGATTTTTTTCAGCAATTTGTGTTTTTGTGTTTATTTCCACAGTTCTTTGGTTTTTTTGCGTCATTATATCATTATATTTGATGTGGTTTAAATCTGCAGAGCAGTGCTCACAGTGGGGCTGCATAAACAAATTTTTCTCTGTTGCATTCAGGATAATTGTAAAGCCAAGATAGCAGAAGGTTGAAGATGGCTGTTTGGATTTCCAGTGTTTAGTTTTCTGCTGATGGCTTATGCATTCAGGTTCCTTTTGAGTATTGATGTGTTAATTAGACCAGAAAGCCAGTGTCTGGATTTTGTAAATGACTGCTTCCTGTCACTTATTCAAACTGGAGAGAGGATTGCCAGAGAAAGTATCAATATTCATTTTCCTGGGAGATAGTAGGAACTGCCGATGCTGGAGTCTGAGATAACAAGGTGTGGAGCTGGATGAAGAAGGGTCCAGACCTGAAATGTCAGCTTTCCTGCTCCTCTGATGCTGCCTGGCCTGCTGTGTTCTTCCAGCTCTACATCTTGTTATCTAATATTCATTTTCCTTACGTGTGCACGACCATTCATCCTGCATTCCAGACATTTAAAGGCTAATAGAACACATTTAAGGTTCTAGTTGAAAGACCAGAGAGGTGGAGAAAAACTGAGCCAGGAAATGTGGAAAGAAATGATGGTCTTGAGTGGAATGGTAATAGAAGTGAGTGGTGAGTGTGTTTCAGTATTGGTAAAAGGACTCTAGCTGTACTGTCTGCAACTGAATGGGATTTTAACAAGAGGTCATGTCATTTACCACTGTAATTGTATCAAACCTTGTTTGGTATTCATTGTATTTAACTTCTGTAGCTAAATCTAAATTTTACTCTCTTGCATTCATAATGTGATTCTCATCTTCTGGAGAGAAATAATGTGTAGTGTAGCAATCCAAGATGGTGGGGATTCCAAAAGGCTGTTTGGGCAGAAAAATGCAGAGATACAGTTTCTAGTTCATGATAAATGTGATTCTAGATCCAGGAAGTGCGCAACAATCATTGTTTATTAAATTGCTCTATAAATTACTTCACACTGATAATGAGCATTATGGCAAATGCTTGTTTTATGACACTAAGGTGTCTGATGACAATTGTGAGGATGGCCTTGAGAAACTAAAGCTTTTTAATGAGTGCTGAGAGGATAAGAAGAACATGGCAGAGGTTGTTGAAATTATGCAAGCTGCAGGATGCTGGCCAGAATGTGGAATTCTCTGTTGCAAACTGGTGAAGGAAAGCCCCTTTGAAAAGGGAAATGTTTGAAAAGAAACTCAGAAGGTTGATTGAAGAAGGGAAACGATAAAATGTACGGGGGGGATGTTGAATGTAGGATATAGAATAGATGATTCTTGGAGTAGGTGGAAAAGATCAGTGCAGACCTAATGGAGCAATTGACCTTTCTGTAACATTCTGAGGTTTAGGAATGGTTTCTTGTGAGGGAGATCGAATGTTGGGGATCATCTATGAAACGTAACCATCCAGGTTTGAACAGGAAAAGTACAGGATGTAAAAGTATTCGATGCAGCATGAACCTGGAGGAACACAACAGGTCAGGCAGTGTCAGAGGAGCAGGAGAGTTGATGTTTCGGGTTGGGACCCTTCATCAGGACTGGGGAGGGGGAAGGGAGCTGGGACATAAATAGAAGGAGGAGTGGTGGGGCTGGGGGAAAGGATGGTGTTAGGTGGATATACGTAGGGGGTAGTGGGGATTGGTCAGTGGGAAGGGTGGAGGCGGATAGGTGGGAAATGAGATGCACAGGTTGTGTCAGGTCAAGGATGCGGGGATGAGAGGGAGGGTTGGACATGGGATGAGGCCAGGGGTGGGGGGGATTTTGAAACTGGCAAATTCAATGTTTAGGCCATCGGGCTGTAGGCTTCCGAGGCGGAATACAAGGTGTTGTTCCTTCAGTTTGTGTGTGGCATCATTGTGCACTGGAGGAGGCCAGATGAACATGTCACCAAGGGAGTGGGAGGGGGAGTTAAAATGGTTACTTTGACTTGAATACCGTTGGTCATCAGAAAACATTTACTGAGCACTTTCTCACATATGAGCTGACCCTGTAAGAGTTCTGTATGTGATCTATGGAAGGAGCTGACTTCATTGTTTCATTGGCTGCATAAGTTAGCACTGCTGCCTCACAGCACCAGGGACCCGAGTTTGATTCCAGCCTCGGGCGACTGTCTGTGTGGAGTTTGCACATTCTCCCCGTGTCTGCGTGGGTTTCCTCAGGATGCTCCGGTTTCCTCCCACAGTCCAAATATGTGCAGGTTAGGTCGATTGGCTACGCTAAATTGCCTGTAGTGTTCAGGGATGTGTAGATTAGGTTTGGGTGGGATGCTGTGAGGTTCGGTGTGGACTTGTTGGGCCGAAGGGCCTGTTTCCACACTGTAGGAATTCTTCTATTCTTCTTCTATTCATAACGCCTCCCCATTCATGGCAGAAAAAAAATTCAGAACTGTGAGTTCTGAGCATCAGTGGATCAATACCTCACTTGATCTGCTATTACCTCACACCATCATGCTACCCCTCCCCCAATGCTGAAAATGGCCAAATCGTGTTTTTTTTTCATTGTAGGAATGGAAATTCAGATCCTTTACACACAATAAGTTATGAATGCCAAAATAAGCAGCAGCAGAATTGAAACTAATGCAAGGGTTAGCAGGTGCTCTCAACTGACAATAATAGCAAACATCTTGGGCAGAAGTTGATGAGCGCTCTGTTAGATTGCAGGGTTGTGAAATAAGACACAAAAGTAAAGGAAAACCTTTTTAAGATAGATAGGACAGTAATGTATGCAGTTACATAAGAATGTATTAAATTGAAATGGAGAATGTGCTCAGAAAATACCATTGTGTGTCTGTGTTGAGCAATAGCTGTTTCAACACCACAGGCTAGATGTGGTTCCTTTCTCAAATTATGGATGATCTTCAGATGAGTTAGTTTTATTCTGAAGTCCATTTAAGGTCCAGAATTAATAACAGAGATCTTAACAACTCTCCGAAGTATTTTCTGTGCCATTGTGAAAGGTTGGTGGAATGCATCCAAAGATATTATACTTTTCTGAATGGAGCTTCAGGAAGTATTTAAGATCATAAGACCACAAGAAATAGAAGCAGGTGAAGGCCATTTGGCCCCTT